ATATGATGCCCCATACATGAGGCAACGGACGCTTCACGGCTTGGACAAGCTCCTAGTGTTGAAGAAAGTAAGATAAGCGGTATTATGCTTGGATACACACTGATAGAACACCAATCTAGCAGTCTGCGTCGTAAAAATCGATAAAGAACTACTTCATATTAAGTCGGCCTGTCATTTTTTGTCTACTTAATTTACATAGCCGAAATGTGAATCGTAAATTTTTGGGATCAAAGTCAGTGGAACAGGACTATCAGCAACGACGAAAAGACGTTGTTGCGCTGTAGCACGTGACGCTGCTAAAGGTGCTGTGACCCCGATATTTAAGAAACTATATTGGCTGCTCCTGCCGCTACTGTGCTGCTATCGACGCTTGCCCGACGCGCGTCTTGACGTAGCTGTCCTTTTCTTTGACGCGCTACCGCCGACCGCCCGAACCGGGTGTAAATGCTCCGATTCTGTCAATCGGAGCTGTAGCGGAGACGTAAAGTGTCCGGAGTGGCAACGTTCGTACTTTAACAGACGACGGTATCTTTTACTATTTAGAAGCAAATTTATTTTTGGAACTTGACCTACGCGTATGGCCCTCTCGGGCTATTGGCATCAAGCAAAAAAGGCGGGAAGTAGATAAAAGTAATGTTTAGTTACTCTGACAGAGTTTTCATCGTTCGGACACCGAGCCAGCTTATCTGCAAACGAATGCGTAGCAGTCACGTGCGTGTTTTTATGTAGAAGAGATAACGATTTTACAAGCATTTGTGACATACCGTATGCGACAAAAACGGTGCTACGTCTTATGTATGGAACAGCTGTGGATTACTTTGAAAACCAAGAATTTTTTGAGATCTGTGATACTTTCCATATTTTTATTTATACACTATATGCAAATATTTTACTGTAGCATAGTAGCTTTTTTGGCTTGGTAACTGATGCATGCACTATATTTTTATCTAGAAGACTAAATCCGTTTACGGACGTTGGATCTTGCCTTTTAAAAATAGTCATGGTAGTATGGAGCGTTAGCTGTTTATTGAAGAAGTACCCTCAGTGGATTCGCATATTTTCTTCTGCTCGTGGTGATCCTGCATCGGTACTTGATTTAATACAATTTCGATGACGAAATAAACAACATATGTGTCTTTCTGTTGGGTGTATATTGATCCAAGGTCGAAGGGTTATAGTTTTTTGGAAAAAAATTTGAAATTGGTATAGACATATGTTAAACGCTTATGAAATCATGTTTTGGAGAGCTTTTGGCCAGGTGTTATAAATAAAAGTATTAAATTTTAGTGACCGTTACAACTTTAGTATGAAGCATTCATAGGCGCCATACGGCGATGGACAACTAACCAGTGCAAGTGTTTACGTAACTTACCCTTTTCATCGAGAATATCGAATAGTGTCTTCATTGACTGGACAAACTTCGCTGGTAGGCCTTCGTACGGCCGAGGATAACTAGGTGGCGCATTGCTGTTGTTAGTGGTTGATGTTGACGTTGTTGTTGTTAGGGTTTGCTGCTGGGCATTTTGCGCTAGGGGAACTTGAGATGAGGTAAGGGCCGGCGAAGCCCCCAAAGTTCCCAGAGGCGCCAGTGGAGGCCCGGGTTCCCCGGCGGTTCGACCTGCTTGCCGGCCCATCTCACCACCCACCTCTACCGATCCCTGAGTATATTGCAAAAAACGGGGAGTCAAATTAAAGAAAGTAAACGCACCACTAAAAATGTCTGTGAGTATAATGGGATCATGTAATCAAGTATTGATTAAGGTTTTCTATGCGTTTAAAGTTTCCTTGTTTGCTGAAACATGAGATGAGCGTCGTTAAGCATAAGTTCGAACATTCGGCTCCCGTATGGAACTTATTTTGTAACGTTAAAAAATTAGCTTGTACTACCGGTCTGGTATAGCTGCTCGGACAGGTCAAGGTATTTCGATGACATATTAATAATAAAGGATATGGACATCTTCTCATGTACGGTTGAGTAATAATTTTTTTGAAATCAAATGTTGACTTTATTGCATCTGTCTTATAGGTACAGCATGCTGGAACTATTTTGATCTACACCTTTTATAAGTATGCTTTGCAAGTACATTAATTTTTTTTCTGTGTGCTAATTAACATTTGTTCTACATGGCTTACAATACAACTGCAGCACAAGTTTATTTAGAAAGTGCAAATGCAATAGCAAACAGGTATTTACCTAATTAAGTGAAGTTAATTTTGTTTAAAAATTCATTCCAAGTAAACTTCTTAACCAATACGTTATGCACGCTAGCTTACCTATCATAGTTTAGTTTATTATCAGCTCAACTTATTTTTAATTTTCTAATTAACCCCTTTTACATTGCGCCCCCGGACACCTACCCAAACTTATATGCAGCTCATAAACTGGAAAATTTAGAAGTGTGACGATGTGTCGCTCAAAATGCAGAGTAACATTTATGTTCATTCATTCTTTTTTTTCAGTTAGGCTTCATATTATTCTGTGAAATTAACTGTGACTAGTTCTTATTGTACTGCAGGTATACATGTGTATACATCCCAAATCTTCAATGCACACCAAACTAACTTAGTTTTGTAGTACAGATACGATTTAGGCAAGGTTTTTTGGTAAGTCTGACTTTTTTCAACTGGCTTCCTGATCGATTCAGGCTGATCAGAGCTGAGCCGAAATTTTCTGTCGGTCCAAGTGAAGACGTATGCAGTAATCCCTTATACGCCAAAACAAACGGGTGAGCTCGGTTATTTTTTCTATTCGATGTTATAACAACTGACTAGATTTATGGATCAATTAGCTACACCTGCAGCTTGAACAAAAGACGCAGAATATGTAAGGAGGTAAGGTATAACGGTCTTCTGTAGCGATAAAAAAGCTAATTAGGTTAACCTAGCGACCTAAACGCCTCTTAAAAAGGCCCTAAAGGCGAAGCCAACAGACCGGCTGATAGATTTGGGTACTGTGGTCTCCGTGAACGTAGCGCTCCATAAGGTGAAGTTAATACGTCGAATTAGAATTCATGGCGGGCAATTTTGAATGAACTGAATGTAATTTATAGAATCATAATCATAATAATAGCGGCAAAATACCGAAACATTAAAATGAAAGACTACATTACGTATGCATATAACACGTAAAGAATTAATTCACAGCAAATCGTAGCGCCTTACAGTATAAACTGTACACTAAGATATAAAGTGGTGCTATAGTTATTACCCTAAGAGAATTGGATCTATACAAGTATCAAACATCCACATGAACCGTACGCGTGGATCGAGTTTGGAAGAAAATCGCATTTAACTGGTGGCTGCTAAAAGTCGGTTGTTGGCCTTTGACCGGATAGGCAACCGAGCTCCGTCTGCATTGACAGTAGTATTACTAATCGATATACATCGATAATCTTTTGAGCAAGGCTCTACGTACAGACAGCAATTATATATGTATGTTTACTATTATTCATTCTCCCAGGATATTAATATTAAATATAGCGGACCCCCAGGTCGCAACAGCAGCTGCTGGCTCGTGTGTTTGCGCAACTATGAAGAAGGCGCGAGAAACCCTGAAGGGTTGCAACTGGAGAAGAGAAAGGATTTACTACCCGGGATTGCGTATATATGCAGTCGGAGCTTTACTTGAGCCAATCAAATGGTGAGAACAATTTTTGTTTGTCTCTGGCGACCGACAACGATGAAGGACTTTTTATTGTTCCTTTTTCGTGAATCTGAGGGAAAGCGAACAACTTACGATGGACGCAAACAAGGAATTGTGTTAATGAACAAAGCCTTGCTTAGGCTTACCTTTGCTTCAAACTCGCTATGGCCACTTCTTATTTATGACTGTATGAATATTTCCTTTGTTTTACGACAACGAGTGGTATTTTTATTATATTGTTCTACTGTACATAACATTTTCATAGAAAGGCTGTGTGTTTAATGTGTTATTTTATGTGGGCGGTATATAAACGTAGCTCATTTGGTTTTGGCTTTATTGTATATCACTACTCGGGACTAAAAGAGATAAGCTTGATAGAAATTAAATCTCAAATGTATAGGTATGTATCACTCTCTACGAAATAAAGGTTCGCATATATAGGTACAATGATGTACTTGTCCTGAATACAGGCTCAACACATTTAATTTTTGTCTCTAACGTCGGTGATGCTTAACAGGATTCGTCAAGGAATCCGTGTTATCACTCAACAGTAAATTCGTGCTGACACCTAGCCAAAAATGGAAGAAATCTTGTTGTGACTATGGAGGATATCTCAGCGGTTAGACTTTTTATTTATTTAGAGAAAATAGAGTCCGCAAAGTAGTTGTGTTTAAAACGTCACTTAATCAACCGGCTAAGATTATTACATGTCTCATTTATATGATGTAGATTTTTTATTTATCTCATTTATATCAAACAAATTATATGATACGACTTATAAAAGTTATCGATAAAAGACTGTGCTTCTACCTCCTCCTTTGATTGAGGGTACAAATGTTCACAACTCATTCAACCCGACTCATTTCGGCAGTTTGTTACTATAGTGGAATAAAGTTTCATGTATGCGTGACCCCAAGAGACGCGTGATCCGTGACTGCAGAGGCACAACTTACGTTGCACATCCAAATTTTGCAAGGCATAGTTCAATGAAGTAATGGGAGTAACACCACGCCTCAAAAAGTGTCCAATCGCCAACGATCACACAAGAACGGGAAAAAAATGGCACGCGAGTTACCATAAACCAGAGAAACATGAAAAAAAAAATCTATTTAATTAGCTAACCTCTTAGTAAAGGAAAACAAAAGAATGCAAGCAAAATGGCTTCAGTCACGTTTTCTATACTAAAACTATATTAGTACACCTTAAAAACTCAGTCAGATTCCAATACGTTCAATACTGAGCTATTTATGGTAACTACACAAAAAACATTACAACCAGCCAGCGTTAGTCAATCACCCAACATGTACATATCGATCTAATGCCCAGAGCATAGTTTTTCCGAGTGCATGCAACACTCCGACTGAGCCACTTTCTAAATTACTCATTGGCTAACTACGCGCTCCTACAAAAGGGCTAAAATATTCACCGAAATGCCTAAATCGACTTTCGAAACTTCAATATTCAATATACGAAAGGCCTGAATGTCCCAATCTTCGTCCTCACGATATAACACTATCTTGAGCTTTCGCTTTTCCGACCCTGCATCTATCTACTAATGAGAATAAATCCATTTACATAGCAAGACATAGCAGGATATGTTTAGGGCTGATATATTAACCGAAGCTTCCTCCATACGAAAATTGAATGTCGTTAAAAACAAACGAAATAACGATGAGCCTATGTTTTGCCAAGTAAGGGACAAGTCGGCAAACAATGATTGCACATTCATCCATTTCCGACCGTCGACCATTCGTTTTATTGGAGTGGCTTGAGGGGCGATCAGGTTGAATCTTATACTTATTTTTGCTATCAGTAGTGCAGCACGATATAATAGAATACCTCATCTATCAACACGAAAAAAGCGGTGCCTGTGACAAGCATCGACCAGGCAACAGCCCGACGTGCAAGTTATTTGCAGCTGAGTCGACTTTGTACGTATCGAGTATCACCGAATTGCCAAAACGATTGCTTCGCAGCCATCAAGGATGAAGCTTTTGATAGCTGAAAATTTCTGTTTCTGTTGCTTTTCCATGCGTAAGAAAAGCAAATGAACAGCAATAACCAAAAACTGGTAACCAAGCTCTAGCAATTATTTGGCGACGCGTAATACAGCGAAGCTTCGAGGAAGGGAAGCCAGCGGCGTGCAGGCTTCGGCCTCGGTGCCAGTCGTTGCAGTAGAAGCGTCGTTCAGCTTTTGCCAAGCATGTCCATCTATACGTTCGAACGGTTGTTCAGCGTCGAGTCAAAACAACAGCGACTTTCGTTCGTTAGGCGGGTGGCGGTCATATTGGGGTTCCGCTAATCAATTGCCTTGCTACGATACAGTTAGCTGCCGCTGCTGCGGCCACCAGCTCTTCTTTCGCCGTCGATCTTCCCGGGGGTTTAACTCCTCCTTCTCGTCCTTTCTTTTTTTCTTCTCCAACGCCTTCAGCCATAGCATTCTCCGCATCGACGTTTTCTTAGCGTCTCTTCGACGTTTCGTTCGAATTACGCTGGTTGTCGACTACTTTCTTAGACCGATATCGACAACGACTATAACCTCGATGCTGACGGCAGAGGCAAGTGGCGGGACTCTTCGCTACTTGCCGCTCGTTGGCACAGCGATCGGTCGATTTCATCGTGGCAAAACTGAGTCAAGCCGAGGGAGGGTTTTGAACCGCGGCTACTGCCACTGTTGTTGCTGCTGCTGCTTTGACGTTGTCGATCGACAGTATTAAACTAATGAAAGCGAGCGACGCTTTTGTAAAGAAAGATGAACGTATGACCGCTGCAGGAGCAGCACTAGTTCCGAGGCAGCAGTAACAGCGACGGGCAAAGATGAAAAGTCGAGGGAAGCCGCTGGTGCTGCTCATTCATCCACCGCCAGCGTCAAATGATGGGCCAGTATCAGTGAACGTCCTGCAGTGCCAGCCAACGTCAGAGTACAACAAGTTCGAAAATGCCGTATAAACTGGCTGACTAGCGTAACTTCGACGATAGCTACGGTACCGGCCACAATATTTGGCATCGGCAGCAGAACGTTGATAGTTGTAATGCAAAAGGCGTGTACATTTTTTTTCGGTGGTTTGACGTCAAGCGGCACTTTGCTGTCTATCTTTCCGTATTTTTGCAATTCTGCGTGCATTTCTTTATTTTCACCTTCCCGCCTTTCTCCCTGACTTCAACAGCGAGAGATTTAACCTATGGTGGTGGAACCGATGGCTGGGTGGTCAAATGCGTGTAGAAGACCCATATACATGGGTAGTAATATTTTTCGTAAATGTGAACTGTCTTTGTTTCACGAAAAATTCTAACGTATAATAAACTGCTTAAGATTAATTTACGGTTTGGCAAGACAGAGGAAACCCCTTATCGTGATCGCTCCTCTTTGACAACAGACCTTTTTTTCATTTTCCTATCCTGTACCCCTCGGTACGGGAAGAGTGTCGGAAGCATTGTTAAACTATTACCTCGAATTCATAACAGACTGATAAGTAAAAGGTTACAAAAGCGTGAAACATGGTTAAATAATAGTCAATACTTGACATTATCGACAAAAAACTATTTTCTAGTACTTGCTATAAAGGTTCAGCAGGGCAAGATGAATATATCTTACAATACAAATTGTTACAACAAACAATACAAAATGTTGTCTAGAAACTGTAGGCGGCTTTGGATAAGTGGATCTGGCGGGACGCTCATGGAGTGACATAAGTTTACAGTCGGTTCACATACTGGTCTGCTTGAAAGCGAAGAGCAGATACATTAGATTGTATGGAAATTCTGAACTAATAAAATCACAATAATTGTCGATTTATAATTAGCCGGAGCTTCAATAGGATCCACCTTGTCCATACTGTGTTACGGACTAATTGAAAGTAAAGCTTTCAGGGTCCTTCGAAGCATTTTCGTTAGAAATCCCTTACGGAAGACAATTAGATGAATCTATACTTTAAAATTAGCCTAGTTCGTTAGGGATCCGGTCATTAGCTATTCCAGATTGTTAGTCAAACCTAGTTATGCGATAGTTTTGAATAGGGGCACATCCCCGCCAGTTTATTTTCGAACAAAGATGTGGGCTCAAGCAAATTATTACAAAGGCTTTATGGAGCATAGAATCTGCTTAACGTCGTCTGTTAGGAGTTGTCGCCCTTACTATCCTTGAAGCTGATCGGATTTATTAGTTCACTTATTTTTCCCCAATATAGTTACCCCATGCTTACTAGCGCATGTTTGGTCTTTTGTCAAACACCAAACGTACTTTGTTCGTACTAGTGGACAAGTGGACAAGTTAGGTGCCACACTACCGCATGGACTTTCAAAAAAAAGATTCCCTATATGTCACATCAACGGTAAGCTATACGGGTCCGACCTGCTACATATCGGCGTTGTTACGTGATATCGTCTTCTCTGCTATAAAAGTTAGCACTTCACGATTATGTAATACTTTTTAACATCATTTTTTGATCTAGCGCAGAATAGAACAGGCTGATGGAGCATGGGCTGTTTCGGCTAAGGGGCAAGTTCAGGATTCTCTCATTTGCATAATTATGAACACTTGTACCATATGTCCTTCGCTCGAAATTTCCATTGGTGCGCTAAAGATATTATTGTTCTCCCGTTATGTGGCCTCTTACGGAAGGGAGTCACATGAATCGCTCTGGGCGAATCATTGATTTGTTGCCCTTGTATCAGCTCACAACACGGCATTAACACAGCTACTGAAATTATGTTTATGTTTATCCTCATATTTATGTGTTCAAGCCCTTATGAATAATGTATCTGATTGGGATTTTTACTTGATTTTGCTAACTTTTGTTAAACTATACTGTCAAGCTACATCTGTAGCTGCGAGGAACAGTACACAACATCTGCTGAGCTGTCTCTCGCTGGGGCGGTCGTATGATGATTTGAGGGACAGGCGATTTTCGGCTTTGCCAGAAATCTGCCGTGGGTGTCCCGTCTTATGTGACGGACGACCGACATGATATCGAACAGAGATATAACAATTGCATAACAAAATCTGAATTTAGTGCGGCCAGCTAAGTCCTAGCAAAATCAATTTGGCATTGACAGTTGTTGAGCTAATGAAACAGCCGTACTCATGCATTAAAATCGTCGCATCTAAATGTTAAATAATATAATTTACTATATGTTAATCATGACAAAGGAGCAACAGGGCACGTACGCAAGCATATCGATGGTAATTTTTCAATATTTAGTTCCATTTAATAGTACGCTTACAGTCTCAATTTGTTTTATTACAATGTAAACATAAGCGGCCAGTTCCAAATCACTCTGAAGAGCACCTGAAAACGATGAGTGCTTACATGGACACATCTTCTGGCAGCATGATGTCTAATTTTATTAAAGAGAGTATTTGTTGACTTACAGTGAAATGGCGTACACGGTAATATGTTTTCCGCTATCCTATAAACTCTATAAAAAAAAAATCTGACACTTTACTCCTATAATTGAGCGGTGAAAATTATCCTCTATTACTCACAACTTCATTCTCATTCCCTATAGAGATTTGCATATCACACGATGTTGTAGAGCTACATCATCCGTTTACAATACACCTGCTCACATAATTATACACACATGCGAAAATTAGTGAGCATAATATCCAGCGACAGATAGCGGCAATAGCGGGTAGTATTCAAACGTCGCAGCTTCATTAGCCAACGCTATCAAAGTCTAGCACAGTATGAAATAACAATTACTTCTCCTAAACTGTCCTTTTTTTCTAATCCTTCGATAGCCATATGGACAGTCGTGCAGCTTATGGTAATGCCTATCATGCACTGCGGACGGAGCAACGGGCAGGACTAAGCCCGCGCAATCGCGAGCCACTTGCCGCTACTAAAACATAGATGAATATAACTGAAGACTGAGCATGAATCTCTAATCCTGACGTAGCAGTGCGAGCTTTCCTGCTCTCGTAAGGTTTCGTTCTGTAGCCTTCGCGGTTTATTCCTTGCTCAGTCCCTCTTGGGGATTCGTTTCTCCAGCGAGCGTCTTATTCCTTTCACAAACGAGCTTCGCACACAAAAACAATCACACTCCTTCACAACATTCTGAGCTATTCGGCACTTAATGCTCCTTTATTATGCTTTTGTAATATCATCTTGATGGTAGAGTTGATTCGAGGATCCTTCTAGACGCACCGAAACTGATGAGTGAGTTGCAGCACTCTAAACATCCTCGCCGTCGTTTGACGTTGGAGTTTGTTCGATTGGCCAAGATCGAAGCAGCAGCGGCAGAAGCAGCAGCAACAGCGGTAGTATTAGCTGATCAGAATCCTAAACGTAAAGTCCCTCAAAAATCCATGTTCAGCCAAAGGTGCAACAGCTCACTGGAGCTCTCCTGTTACTCACGTCTCCCTAATCCCTACTCAAACCTACACAATCACAATATCATTAGTATTATCCGTCGCTTTCGAACACACTGACGGGCGTCCCTAGCACGATAATACTTCTATTCTTCCCCTCGATTAGATTTGAGCGCCTGCCCCCGGTTGAGGTCCCCCACCAAAATAGTTGTTTTGTTTTCTTTGCTTCTATATTGGGTTAACACAAAAGCCGCCTGCCGTTGGCGACGTCTGTATTGAAACTGTGGTCCATCAGCAAACAACTGCGGAGCAGCAGATTCGCTGATTTCGGTGGTCTTTGACGGCGGCAGCGGCAGCAGCAGCAACATTTGGCTGCAACGGCCAATGTCTTTCTATTTCTGCTTCAGCGCCAGCGTTCACTAGAAGACCCGCCAGTACCAACGAACGACAGCAGCCCTCTTTCTTCAGAGGCTAACGCAGCGTCTTGTCCGGTTTTGCGACCGGTTCGGCGCCACCCGAAAGGAGAACGAGTGAGAAACGTCGAAAGCTAAGGAAAGGACGCAACCAAAGCAACAAAATAAGAAGCGTGGCGGCGGCAGTTGTCGCTGAACAAAAAATGTTGCCGAGCAGGCGAGGAGGGCTCGGTCATGGCATGGGCTGACGGCGACTTTCTGGTATGCGACGTTCGACACCTCGCTCGGCGCAGAAGTGCCCCACCAGTAGCGAAATGCCAAAAGCGCACGGGTATTTGCCAAGCACGTCGATTCGGTATTTAGTGGCTCGACGGCAGATCGACTGGCAAGTTGTGTTGCTTCGCCTAGTTTTTCTCTTTTCTGCCATGCTAGATACTGGGTCGACTTGACCCTTGTCGAAGGCATTGGCGCTCAACCAGCTCCGCCGGTGAGCGCCGCTGACAGGTCCGACATGCCCTCACTACGCTGCCACTTCGATGCCTCGCATCTACCTGTCCATTCTTCTGTCAGTCAGAAGAAGAAAAACAAGTGTGTGGACCGAAGTGGGTCGCCGGACCCCAGCCGCGCTCACTGGTTCTGTTACATCGTCTATTCATCAGTCGCTCGGCGCTTATAACGCTGCTCACCCGCACTGATTTGGTTCACCCCGCTGGTAGGCTCACCCGATACCGCTCAGTCAACCAAACGCAGCCACGGCCAAAGTCGAGCACATCGAGGGTTGATTTCCTCACCGGCAAAATCCATCCCTATTGTTCGGCAGGGTAGGAAGCGACCTCGCGGCGTTCGTCCATGCCGAGATTTTCCCTACAGCTTTTTTTGGCCTTTTAGTCCTTGCTTTGCTTATGCTTGTCTACCCTATCCCAGGTTGCTGTTTATGTCTGCCGGTCGCCTATCATCTTCCTTGGCTGAAGAACCACAATAACATTAGCGAAAATGTGCCGGTTCCTCGCGTCTACACGCGTCTCAAACTGCATGAGATGCCAGAAGAGACCAGGTCAGACCTGCATCGTTACTGTGCCAAGCGACGTGTGCGCTTGCACACTTTGGCAGCACAGCAGTGACAGAAGCAGTCTTGTCGCGCACACAACAAGTACAGTCTGGCAAAAAACGTCCGTAAAGCGGTTGTTGGCCGTTGTTCACAACTTTATGGTGTAATTGTACTGACGCAATAGGCTTTCCTCAGCCTGCCCAAGCTTTCTTTTTTTCGTCCTTCTCCCTCAGAACTCGCGCAAGTCCCACAGATAATATTATTGTACTTTTCAGACTCATTTTTTGTTAACAGCAGCGGCAGGCGATGAAGGGTTGCTTTGATATCATAAATCGTGTCGTGTGGCTCTCCGTTCGCTGGTGCTCCCGTTACTGCCGCCGCTGCTGCTTTAGGCATTACTTCTAGGCATTAGTTCTGTCGTCTTCATACTTCGGGCATTGCGGCTTCGGACCACGCTCGTATCTACAGCTTTCTTGGAGCGGCTCCTACGAGTGGAACAACGAGTAGCCTCCACTGTAGACTCGAACTGCTAGTAAACGACTGTACACGACTCGACACTTGCTGACCTCGCCATTTTTGGATAACGTTACTGGCTCCAACCAGAGTTTCATCTTCGCAGACCTCCGGTTTCGCTAACCATGCTTCACTGTCAGCCAGCGCGATAAAGACTATTCTCGTTGCTTCTCGCTTTCGTCAAAAAGAATCAAGTGGAGATAGAATTCTCAGATTTTATGAAAGAAATCAAATTACTTTTAGCGACCAATGGGCCGGGCGCCGGGCCCTTAGCCTGCTCCAAAACTAGCAAAACCACCGTCAGTTGGTGGTAACTGGCAATTATTATAACATGACTATTATCCACCAGATATCAGAGAAATTTCTGCTTAAGAGTCTGTTTCAGCTTGATTCCTACGTTCTATAAGTGTTCTTTTTCGCGCAGCATCCTTCTTTGTGCGGAGCTAGTCGTAAATATGCGGGTGCCCGGTTTTGCGGCTAAACCTTCCAGCCAGTCGTCTAAACCAGGAGTTGCATGCGCGATATACTTCTTTTTGCCAAGTTTTATAGAACCAGGTCTTTAGTCAGGTAGACAAGACACCTTCTTAAAAAATATTGCTAGCGGTGCTGCCGTTTGTGCTCGTGCTGTCTCTGCTTACCCTCAACGAAGAAGTCGGTTTAGACGTTCTTGTTATGGTTTGGTAACGGTCGGCTTGATGTCGATATTATTTTTCCGCTAGCGGCGATTATCAGAGAGACCGCTGATGCTTCGCGGATGATTCCGTTATGTTTAAAAGGCGTCAGTTGTAGGAGCAAAGGTAACGGCGGATAACTGAACTAAGCGAAGTCGAGACAACGGTCCACGACGGCTTTCGGTCTTTCTAGACGTCGAATTTTGGAACTTCATGCTCTAACAGCGGCGGCGACACCACAAACATTTAATGTATTTCTCGTTAGTCAACACCATATTCGTTGAGATAGAACATGCACAAGCATTAACGATATATGAACATATTCCCATGCGTGTTATAAGTCAGGGGCTACAACTTGCTCGGGGAGATCAGACATGTTAATCTACATATTCAAGTGAGGCTAACGGTGCAGCTAGGACTAGCTGTAATTTGTGGCTGTTAGATGACATAAGCATCTCCCTAGACGTCCATACTATGGCATGACCGTACCGGATTCTGCAGAGCTTTGTTTACTGAACCCCAACCCCAACATGAATATTTATTGTAGCGATTTCGCGCATGCAATACGCTTCTCAATCCAACCGGCGGGTTTCTGCGTGGCAGGCTTTAATTTAACCAAGTCCACAACACCACTCGTCTTCGTGGTGGTACAGTGACAACGAACATTTAGCTCAGAACGTATGAAATTCCAGCTTTCTTATCTTAATATCTAAACTTTCTTATCATAAACGGAAATGCAGGAGCATCGCAAACTGTTCCAGTTAAGTTGCACTCGAATTGCTTTGTTTTCACCAGGTACTCTGAAGATATATAGACAGGGACACCTGACTCAAGGAGACTCTATCACACTGTGTGAGGTCAACTAACACAACTCTTGAAGAAGAAGTTCTTTATTTTATGCAGTATTTATTGATTTTCATGAAACTTTTAATTCTAACCCAAAAAGCACAGTTCTACTGTACTGTGTTTCAGAATATTCTCTACTCCTTTGAAAAAATCCAATGTTGGTTGACATGACTTCATAGAAGATGACATTTTCTTACAAACGGACAGGACGGGCTCAGGAAAATGGCCTAAGCCTATAGAACCCGAGCTACAGAGGCCTCTTATGGCCGGGCGACTTCGAGGGAATCGCAGAAAGTTAAATATTTAGCAAAGCACTAATATATACCGGTTATCACGACAGAACCTAAAGTTTATACAGAAATTAGTTCTTGAAATTACCTTAGAAGAACGAAAGCATAATCAGTATTGTAAAAAGACAGGAACCTTTGCATTCCTGTCGAAAGCTTCATGTACATGTGACATTATCATACCAAGTAACGGACCATTCTTTACAGAGCATACGGGCGCAGAGTGCAAAGAGCACCTTTACGGTACTATTTGAAATATTAATGCTACACCACATTTTCATTAGGTTATTATATTTGAGTACTAGCGGTAAGCTACTACTAGAAAAACATTTTTTTTTTTACCTTACTCCTTAATATATGCAAGTTAGTTGCTGAAAGTGAGCCATGTCTAGTGGAACGTAATTATTATTCTAGCTCTTAGTTGACAGCTATTCACCTTTATAAAGTAGCGTTTCTGTACGGTGTCACTAAGTGAGGGCGTTCTTACGGGACATTGTGGCCTGACTTCGAACGCGGACACAAATACACGGTTCGTCTCGTGGTAGGAACTCGTTTGATGGAATGCCTAGCGGCGATACCGGACGTAAAACTCGGAACATCAAGGCGAAAGCATTCAAGTTAAACAAGCATACGACCCATCGACAGGTCGATGAGCAGTGATGAGGCAATGGGACACGATACAAACCTGCAATGGCCAAGCCATTTTGTGGCTGATGCTTAGTCTCTCTCATGAGAATAATCTGTTGTTTTTCCACACATTCGTTGCGATAGATCGCATATGTCTTCTTCCAGGACACTTTGAACAATTCCGTAGCCTAAAGGCATCCTGGGCACAGCGGGCAAAGCAGTAGTTGTAGTCAATCCGTAGACGATACCTTCTGGCGCAGAAAACCGGAGATTACAAGATGTCGACGAGATGAAGCAAGTAGACCGCAACATCAATCGAGTTTCCTATTAGGAGGACCTCATCAGCCCGCTCCAGGAGCTTTTTTTGAGCTCAATGTCCGATAAACATTTATTCCTTTGGACAAGCAATGGTACTAAGAGAACGTGGAATTTTAAAATGAGGTGATTTTTGTTCTATTCTAGTTCCTAGTTGATGCTCAACCGGACGGAACGCAATTTTTTATATTAAATTTATTCGATAGCATGCGTTACAACGTTACTAACTAATATCTAGCACAGGTAACTAAGAGAAATAATTATCTAAATTAGTATAACAGAAATGTCTATGTTTAAAGTACAAACAATTCAAAGAGCAATGTGATTTTAATAAACACCATAAGAATGGCAAATAACAAACACTTAGCATGCGGGAATATCAGAAGTTTTTACTAAGTCTCTACGATCTAAAACTAGTGAGCATTACAAAGTAGACCTTTGAATAAAATATAAAGTCACGATTTACAAAGGCTGCTTAGTACGGCATCATTATGATTAACGACTGGATGAAATAACTCTAAGAGAACCGAAGGTAGAAAAGTGCAAAGAAAAAAAGATACAAAGCGCTTGCTGAATGGAATCGTTTTGGACTATGGAGGTCTGCAATTGTAACAGTATAGGTTTGTCCTGAAATGTTCGCAAGTAACATCGGAATTGAATAGCTGTAGTGCAATAGTGAAGCATTAACAAAGCATTGTAATATTGGTGCTGGCCATGAGGAGTAAAACGAAATGACGTTAAAGAATTAGCTAGATGATGGTGGCTACAGAAAAACCTAGCAGAAACCAAGCAGAAATGGGCCTACTGCGTAAGAGCACGGCATGTATTTTGGTGGTAATTATAATAGGCGTATGAATTACGTGTTACCCACGGAAATCGATTATGAAAAATAAGATGGTTATGAGAAACATTTTTAGATATTAACTGCTAAACACTGCTAAAAAATTGACATAGTCATGAATGATTGTTTAAAACCTTTTCCTAAAGACAGTGGAAAGAAAGTGCTTTGATTATTGGTGCTTCATTGATTAAAACAAAACTCGATCGACGTTATTTCTTATTATAACGACGTTATTATAAACAAAAAATTTAATGTTAGCACCAAATATCTTATGAATAAGCCTTTCTTACCAAATACTACTCAGCAAATCTAATATAAAGGTTATGACAAGCTTGCCAAACCGTTGTACCTATCTGTTCTCACAACAACAAACAAGTATCAACTGGACCATATAACCACGCTCACCTAGCGAAAGTTAAATCTATCCAAAGCATTAACCTTATGTCTTATATTGTCTTAAACGTTTTATGTTGCTGTACGTAGACAGACTTACTCAAGATCTCTCACTATATGGCGTCGGCAGATGACCCGGCAGGTTTTATTTAATACGAATTGCAAGTTAATACTTAGGAAAAGCGTTTGATGTAGTTTTTATTACTTTAGTCTGGAACGCTGCGTGCTCAACTTTAACTATATGACACTCTACATAAATCATGTTTTACCAAAAAAATACCCAACCTTTGAACCTACCAAGCACACTGTATGATGTGTATTGCCGATGCACGCCTCTACCATATAAAGTTGCTTAGGTGCGACTTCCTACAAAATAACTGAAATCAAATAAACTGATTCAAATCAATTTCTTCATAAATATGAGTCATACAATAAACAAAAAAAACTGGGTTGGGACATAAATATTATTATTACTCTTTATCAAAGTCACACTTCTACAGATCTTTTTCGAAAGGGCGCAGTAAGGATTAAAGAAGATATATAATGATATTTTTTTGGTGCGATACTTTGTTACAACGCTATCCTTTTTGTTCGCCTATTTACACTGACGTACCTTCCTATATTAACTACAGAGTTGATATTTGTAGCTCATTATACAGACCCAGGTACATCTTTATGGCGGGGTGCGAGACACCATTGGTGAAATCTCCTTGTTCACATATGCTCAACTATTTCAGCCTTAGTTTTACGTGATCTTTTGGTTTTCTCGCTTCCTTCTGTTGGTTACAACCGTTTTTTTTTGGTACGACGAAGAAGGAGAAAGATCTTTGTCAGTCGTTATAACCGAGCCGTCGCCAAGTGAATTTTGTTGATTGCCTCGTAAAAATAGGTGAAGTTAGACGAGGCGTGATTATCGTATGAGAGCCGCCCTTCATTCTTCACCTGCTACCAATTTGGCCAGAGCACGCTCCTTGCACAGCTGACTAGGTATCTTCGATTCTTTGTTTTGAATGTCATTGCGGGCTCCATATTTGAGCAGAAGTAGAACTGCGGGACGAGAGCCCTCTTCGCAAGCCAAATGTAGCGGCGTATTGCCATAGCGATCAGCCTTATTCACGTCGGAAGTTGATACATAAGTCAATAGCAATTCCATAACCGCGACGTTTGCTGTGGATCGAAGAGAGTTAACCAAAAAACCACAACGTCCATTCATTTACAACGTTTCAACAATCTTAATTAACTAATTACATTAGTATGTCAAGATATGTTTATTGCCAAAATTCAAATGTTTCAAACGAGTAGAACAAAACCGACCGATATAACCATAATGATTTAACGAAAACAGCTAATTCAATGTATTAAAGTTTTGGTAGATCTGTTGCTCACCTTTTAAAGCAGCCCGATGAAGCGGGGTCGAACCGATGTTGTCCTGCATCGCTGATAAACTGCCATTCTGAAGTAATTTTCGAGCAATATTGACGAAACTTTTACTTGCTGCATAATGAAGTGGGCTCTGACCAGTCGCGTTGCGATGATTTACGTCACATCCTTCAATAAAAAAAATACAAAATACAGAAAAACAAATAGGTAAGTCCCAGTCAATTTTCAGTATCTTCTCTGTTATAATGTGAATGAAATCTTAGATCCGGTGTATTTTAGCAATGCATTTCTTAAATCTAACAGAATTCAACAGTTATCAACATTATAAGCCAACTCAAATAGCATCAGTCGAGGCTAAATCCATGATGTTATCAAATGCGATATAGAGTCTTCCTCCAAAGGGTTGGTTATGTGTGAGGTTTTTTTAAGCTGGCTTCTATAAAAACTGCCTTCTTTTGATAGCATAAGTTGCTTTGTTGTTGTAGCTTCGAGGCTGTGAGTTTAAGATTTTTGTACGTTAATAGAGCTATCTTTAAAGAACTGTTTTAACTATGATCAAGATGGTACATATTAACCATACCCTTTGCGATGAGCAAGTGTACTACATCTTCAAGGCCAACGGAACACGCTATCATCAACGGAGTCCATTCGTTATCGTCTGGAAGGTCTACCGGTGATCCTAAATAAACACCACAAGGAAAAAAAGACAACAATTTATATATAGGTAAACGTCAATACAGCTTCGGAGTAACGCTTGAACTGTTATATTCTCGAATGTTTTCGTAGTTACATCCTTAGAACGACTTATATTTTTATCGCGTAAGGCTATTCGATTGTTCCTTTTTGCCACCAACCTGCTTCAATCAGGAGATTAAAGGCTTCAAGGCGTCCACCAGAAATGGCCCAATGCAACGGTATCCTGCCGCAAGTATCTGTCTGCTTCACTGCCTGCGGATCTTTTGACAGCCGTTCACGCAGCGTATCGACGCGGCCCTGTTTTCAAAAATACTCGTACTTTTAATGCCTAGATCATTATTTATAATATCAGATCGATATGATCTTATCGATTTAGGCCTGGTCGGCCCCTCGAACTGCGGAAGGCGGCCAGTATCGCCGGTAAACGATTGTAATACTATATATTATACATACTGCCACAAAACCTGTATATATTCAATTGATTGCAATAGTAGACCGCGACATGTAAGTTAAAATTAACCTCGAGTTGGGTCTTTGTATTTAGAAGTGTCGAGTAAGCTGATAATAGATTGAAGACCACTTTAGAAGATCTAACCGGGATTACGTTCAGGATAACATGTTGATAATAATATAACGAGGTATCATTTAGCGTAATAGAATTTACCGTCAATATAATGGACCGCAGCGTTCCATAGAGAGCAGTAAGACCTGAGGTACAGTTTCGTAACTTACACCATCTGTACGATATTTGAGCATAATAATGGGCTTATGCTTTATGGATGCGAAATAGATATAGGACGCAGGTAGCTATGGGTCCTATAAATAAAATGTTTTCGTTTGCCTCGTTTAACTGTACCTAGTGCAGCCGATTGATGCCTGGTCGATGTACGTCACTTGACCAATTTGTTAGAATGCTGCATAAGATTGAATAAAGTGTGTCATAATCAAAAACGTTAAGTCATTCCACATGAATACGGTAAGCATGAAACGGCCGTCGTGGACTAACTGATTGACTAGTAGGAACACCGCGACGATCATTTAAACCACGTAGCACTTTCTATGCAGTTCTAATGATTTGACAGCGAATAGTACTCAACTCAGATACCAAAAGAATGGCCATTTAGATTTTGTATATAGCTGCAAATTTATCAAGGTATTAGGCAGGTGTTTAGGTATAGCTTAATAACAATCAAACAAATAAACATATTTTCCACGATCATCTGAGTTACCGTACTATGTATGCTAAAAACTAAATACTGTCAGCTGTTGCTGACTTCAGCCGAGCCACAAGTAAACGAAGGCACGTACCTCATATGCCATATTACACACTGCATCGTCGCTCATTTTCGTTGAGAAACTGCGCCGTCCTGATGCTAGTAGATCAACAGTATGACTTTTTCATGGACAGTGACTGCAATGTGCTTACGACACACACCACTGACGACCAAATACAAACAATATTTCGACTTGTCTTCAACTTAACTCTCCTTGTGCCTGCAACGATACACGATTCAAAAGACTACGGACAGAATCAGCCTCTGTTTTGTTTGCCTCTCTCGCTTCTTCCTCATGACGTTTTATCTATAGAAGCTTTCATAGAAGCTTAGTAGCCTGGAATAAGAGCGGCCAGGAGTACATTTTTTGCCTATTAAGATTTTAGTAAAGTGTTTGATTTTACTTGAAGTGAATATTAGTCAACAACGAACTATGTTTTGCTATCGAGCAAAACCTGTTTCATAGTGATTTGCGAAGGAATTTTAAGTTTATCTATGGGTCTGAAGGACATGGTCGCATCTGTCCTTGATATCCTAATTCAGAGAGGAGCCAGAGTTAAAATGCCTGCTAATAATGTGGTACATTTAATTTGTTCGCCGTGAACTATTTATAAATCATGCTTTCTTACGGAGGAAGCTTTCCTACTGTGTGCCACACAAATGTAGACAAGATAACAGTGGTAGTAGTGAGGTTATAAAACAAAATTGATTTTTTAAAACAGAACAAGGACGTAAAAGTTATGGATTTTTGTATAACCAATACAGTTCTTGAAAATGAATTTCGGCTACCCTTTACAAAGCTTCTTTGCTAAAGTTCACAATTTTTTCTAGACAACATGTCGTAACATCATGGGCGATAATCTAGCTGAAGGTTCACAATATACGCAGTTAGTTACGTTTTATCAGCACTGTTAGGAAAAGTACATAAAATAGAATTATCAACGCTTTAGACAATTCATTTTCCAGCTGCAGTTGAAACTGTGTCGAGCGCATTGTCGAAAGTCGAGAAACAAAATGTAGCATTTAGAATTTTCGTTACAAGTTACTTGCTTGATCAGGACTTGGTCAAACAAGTATTGACTTGACAAAAACGTTAAGCAATTAACATCTCCGGAGTCTGCAACCGACTTCTCCATTCCTTGAATGTCAACTCGAGCAACCTTTTAGTCGTTTCGTTTTGGCTGAAGTATTTTATGCATGTCTATGAGGAAGCTGTAGGGATGAGGCGAACTATATATTTTGGTGGGATTTTTGGCGACAAACTGTTCCCACTGCTAAAGTAGTAATCAACGCTTCAGTAACGATCAGCGCCCCTTCGCTGACAGCTGCCAACAAAATTGTCGTCAATACTGGAATTGGAAAGCACGGTTCAACAAACGTACATATAGATACGCAGATGTCTACGAATAATAGGTTCTTATCAACGAAACGCTGTTGGAGGGAAGTAGGGAGGGGGAGGGTGTTCATTTTGCAATAGCCGCCGTCGCAACGGCGACTGTAGCCAAGACGGCATAGGTCTCGTTCTCCTCCTCAACAACATGCGCCGTGGCACCCTCTCCTCTCGAACGAAAAACGGATAACATATAGCCAACCAGGCGTTCTGTGGCGTGCTCACACTGTGTTGACGATCAACAGTCCCAGAAGTTCGTTCAGTTGGCATCGTTGACAGTTTCTAGCGGACAAGATTGATGAACGAACAACTCTAGCGACTATTTAGTCACCCATCGGTGCAGCTGGTAACTACTGGCAAAGGCGATCTGTTTCGGTATCTCGCCACTGGTAGTAGGCCGGTGGCGAACGACTATCCCGAAGCGGAGTATAACTATGTTAGCCAGTTAAACAACGGCGGGGTTGTGATTACATTTCATCTACATATGTAGCTATTGTTAAAGCGCGTAGTAATTGGATGGTGCACCACTGCACGAATCTCTGCATTGCGTTCATGCGTATTGCGAACCCGAATATGATACGTGATGTTATTATGAATGATCGAAAACTATAGTAACCTACGCATGTAGTATAGATGCGGACATGTTTGCTTATTGCTGACGGTGGAATAGTAAATGTGGGCCAATGAAAATGAAGACCGACTAGGCAACGTGAAGAAGACTGTCTGGAGACTGGTCAATAGTCGCCTGTGGTGATATTTCGGTGTGGTGAAAAAGTTCGACTTCGAAGACGTTTCTGTACTGTGGTAGCGTTGTGAGGGCGAGCCGAAAACTGACACGAGCCTTCATTTTGCGGTCAAAGGAAATCCGCCGTTAATCTGCAGTCATCTGAGAAAAGATAGCTGTTTGTTGGAAATATTGCACAGGTGAACTTATAAATGAACTGATCATATAATCAACAAAAAGAAGAAGGTGAGTAAGAAGTTTGTGTAAATATATTGTATACATGTCAAACTATAGCATGACAATGACTTTCTCTTTTGTTGGCTAAAGGGTGGAAGTACCTGAGTGATAAAAGAAAGCTCGTCTGGTTCTTTTTTTCCTATGACATCATTCGAAGCATTTGACCCCCTGCTTCATGCACAAATAGATAAAAGTGCGAACGCTATATAGAGCCCACTCATCTAGTAATGACTTTTTGAGCAACAAATGAAATTTTATTTAACCCCATATTTCGTATGGTTTTACCGTACCATCTTATATAATTGGGTGTTGCGCGGCTGGCTATTTAGCATAGCATTGTGACTACTGATGATGCCCCGACATTAAATTCAATCGATTAGCCTTAACTAAATGAACCCGTGGGTTAGGCAAGCAATTTACGTGCAAGCTTCTTAAATAAATTGTATAAGATAGTTGTATAGCTACATTTAAACAGAGCTATGTAAGGTATTTTTCATCGAGGAGTAAAATTTGATTTCCTTTATTAAAGGGACCAATGGAAGGATATCATGAAGTTACATATAGATGTCAAGAAGTTTCTATTCAGTTTTTAAACAAGGAATTGAATACGCCAGAACTCTTCGTCACTCGCATGACAAATAATGACTTAGAGCTCGCGGCTTCTTTGAAGTTTTTAGTTAGAATGGCTAAGGTAGCGTGAGTCATAGATGTTCATACTGAGTGCTGTAATATACTAGAAATCTGCAGGCTATAGGGCTGAGTTGAATTTATTCTCGCCTTACTGTTTGAAGCAGATTGTTTGACCTATTGTTAGAAGCATTATGTTTACCTTTTTTCGGGCCTTTTGCTAATTGCGTATTTTAGCTTCATGGACATGGCGCTTCAATAAACATTCATGCACATCGTGAAAATTACGTATTCCGTTTCACGTGGGGATTTTTCTTTTGATTTGTCCCTAACGATGTATCTCAACATAAACAAATATTTCAATGAAATTATTTGGATGCGCTAGAAGCGTCAATGTTAACGATCATATTTAGTTGATACGATCTCCGCTCATTTCATTCATGACCTAAATCTAGGACAGACTTATTTCGAAGTTTCCGTACATAGTAATCCAGCATGTTATAAATCTGTATTGTACAATGGCCATATGTGCATATTCCTAAACATGCTCAGAATCTCCTCTTCATCCAATCTCGGACTAAGTGGATAGTACTTGTTGGCACCTCACCTTGATATATGACGAAGCTTCCCTCAGACACTTCAGTCACCCACGGTGGCAGAGCACGCTGATAAGCGTCCGTGCGGTACGGAGATAAGTTTTATCAGTGGTTTTGTCTTTCCAGAACAAGTACGGTGGCATGACGTCTCCTTTATTGGACACCATAGTCGGCCGGAAATTTGATCTTACGCTCAATAGACGCCTCCTATATGTTCTCAAACGCTAGCAACAGTCCCTGTGATTGGTTTTTGCGTTTGTAAACATCTCTTTTATCAAAGAAGGATCAAAGACGATCTGCAGGCTCATTTCTAGAAGAACTGGGGAGCAGATGACATCGGGCAGGTCTTAGGGTCGTAACTCTTTCAGGGAATATCAGTATGAGAGGTGCTTGAGGTTTCCGTCCGCGACATCATAATCGCACCTACATAAAATGTGTTCGCTAACATTTTGTCGAGACTGCAGGGCCATCCAAAAAGCATTTTTCGACAGTGTCGAATGGCCCTCCTCTCCGCACTGTTTTCCTGTTGCAGATTTTTTTTATGTATTTGATAGCTTAAGAAGCTTATGATCTCGTAAACACTTCGTCCATTGACGACCGTTCAAATTTCGATAACGAAGCACTATGTTCCGCCATGATTAAATGCTCGCTCATATCCGTTTTGAAACGGGCTTTAATTTTGCTATGTGCATTTCGGCTCAACGTGTTTACAACACTGGCCACTTGAAAAAAATCAGATGCTAAACAAATCTGTCGGTAGATATTCGGGAGTAGTGTTGTCTAAGTGATGCAAAAAGTTCGTAGATGCGGAACATTTCATGATAACATATAATGATCACATGTCGTGACCGTCAATTTCGACTTCCGACAACTTGTGCTACCGTATAATTAACATACAAATTGTAATGTAAGCAATTTCTTATTGCAAAAACATGATAGGAGTTAACGTTACAGTTACCTCTCCTGTCTGACGTGAAAAACCAGATTCAAATCCGTTCCATAGGAGCTGACTTGACGAAACAGCACAGTATCTTGCCACCACTCACTAAATCTCTTAGTAACGATCAAACAGGAGATTTATCCAAAACGATCTAACAAACCTCCAAACGATTCAATTAACAGAGACAGATTGTTAAAACTAATACATTTAACTAGTAACCAAAGCGATCTTGATAAATTCGTAAAAAAAATTGTCAGTTTCCGATGTTTGTGATTATAGGCCATTTTATAAAAACACAAACTATGCGCGAGCAGTAATACGGCTGGGGGCTTTTTTCATCATAACGGAATGTCTTATTCTGCTTCAAATGCAGACAGGCAGTCATGTAGCTAAATCAAGCAGAGAACGGAAATCATTATCTAAACGTTTCTCCGACAATAATGACAATCCAAGTGAAATTATCAATTATTTGTCTATTCGTCTTTTTCGCTGTCTAATATAAGTGGAAAATGTACAATACAATACAAGGCTCTCTATGTCACCTGTTATTCTCACGAAGCTTTTAGGCAGCCCCCAGGTTTTCGAGATGAGTCAATCACAATATTAATCATGTTTCTACATATTGTCATACTCATTGCATTAACATGTCAGCGCATAAAATGGTATACGTTGACATTTTTTGTCATTTTTTCATTTATAAAAATTGAATGTAAACTTTATGGCAAATCGGCTAAACTGCCCATAATCGTTAGCTTTAGTTGGATTTAATATCATCGCCAAAAGCTTTCCTATAATGGTAGGCACAATGAGCACGGGTCTTTAGCAAACTTTTTATCGGAGCGATTGGACACAAGCAAGATATTCATAAGATAATACTGGAGAACATATATTGTAAGTATTTCTCGTAGGTGTGATCAGACTGGGGAATCCTGCTTATAATGATATGCGGAGTATTTTTGCGCGTTTACGTCTGGAATGAGTCTTGCGCGATCGTTCTCGAAAAATGTCTTTGACAAACGTTGAGGCCCTCAGTTACACTTGCAAGCACATTGTCGACTATTTATGGGGAAGAAGGAATATGTTTAGGTAGGATAGGAAGCGTAATGGCAGTGCCGACGACTAATACATTTCGTATGGGCCGCGTCACCACTATGTCAGGTGTTACTCTTCATAGTCGTACTTCAGCGGACCAATCAAACCTTAACGGGAGTACTGGAGATTTTATTTGATCAAATTTGAAAAAAAACAGTTAAATTTTATCTTTCAATTTTCATCCTTCCATCGATTGCAGCCTTTTTGCGGTGCATTTTATCGCCAGTGATCCTCGGCTACTGTGACTTCAACGCGTGAATCGCCCAAGTACTTGAGCATTGTTTCCTCTCCATATATTGCGTTATACCTTTTTGCTTTTTGCTACAAAGCGTACGAATGCGAGAGGGGCGGTATTGAGTCTTTGCCGAACACCTAGAAGGGGTGGCAAGCGGCTTGAGCGGGCGCTAACGACAACAAGTTTAGCGTTCTAAAAGATATGAAAACCACGTCAGCCATAAGGCTGAGTTTTCAACCCTATCGGTGGCCAATTTCTGTAATAATGGATCTATTCTTAAGTGACCGGAACTGCGTCTTAAATCTACAACAAGTGCTTTGCTAAGTCGCTCATAGGGTCTACACAACGACATTGGGTCTTTCCAACGACGGCACTGCCTGTTCGGAAATCGCCTCGAAAACCGAGCTGATTTTTTTTTATTAGTAGTTGATTGTCTTCCAAATATTTCGCGAGTACTCTTCTTTCACACCTGTTGAAAATCGGAAGTAGCCTTGCCGGCCAGTATTTTGACAGGGGATAGGGCTAAATGCCTTCACTGCTTAATTGGCTTAACCACTAGACTCTTGATATGAGATACTACATTCATTTTCATGTTGTCATGCCGAACGCAGAAGACTGACTTTAAAGTAAATAATGAATTCACTTCGAGATTGGTCACCCTGTTTTGTTTTCTTCTGTTTCGGTGACTGGTGCTCGTCTTTAGCCACCCTATTTCTTCTAAGCTCAGTTCTAAGCTGCTCTGTATGTGGACGTATGCCAGCAGGACCGAAGGAACACATCGAGTCTATGCTTTAGCGGGAATTAAAAATGGTACCGTAGACCAGTATCCAATGCGCTGTCTTCCGTAGGCTAGTGGGTACGGCGTATGGTCGAACATACGCAACAGTGGCAACTTCTTGTGTAAGCCTTTTAAACCCATAAGGATCAATATGGGGCGTTTGTATCCTGTTTGAGTGAAGCTAAGCTAGAAATATCGATAAAGCGATATCGAGAGGAGATGGCAAAACACACGTACAATTCTTTAACTAACAAAGCTATTGGTTTAGTTAGCTACTTGTGTATGGAAATTATCAGGATAGGCGCAAGGTGGCGTTATATTTAAATTAGTATTCGTTCAACAGTTTATCACGTCAGTTCGCCTCTTGAATTCCTATATTTCTCAGAAACTTGAACGTATCTAGATAACTTGAGTAACGTTTTTCGCCTACAACGAACGATTGAATCTCAATTAGGATAGAAGTTCATCCCAGACGTTGAGATGAAGATGTGCATTCGTTACATTTAGATGTACGAAATGTATAGTTCTTCAGTCACCTGTATTACTGTCAAGTGTTTTAATTATCTCATGATTTTTATAGCCGCTTACCGACGTAAAACCTCTACCACAAATTTTGGAAAAAGACATTAGTAAGTTTTTTGTTGCAAAACCTGCTGTTTCTTACACCGTTGACAATGCATAAAAAATACATATCAAACTAACAATAAAACCGATGTTCCATTATGCTGTACGGGCAGAAGAAGACTTGCCGCCATCTTATGCCCCAACAATTTCGCTACCGCTCTGTTGTGCTTCGACAACAGATGTATTACACTTTATTGTAACGCAATATATTATGACTAACAAAATCAGTTCTAGTACTTCTGACTAAATCTATTAGTATGTAAACATGGCTCAATGGAAGTTAGAATTCTTCATCACTTAATTAGAAAAATCAGTTCAAAATAAATGTCAGTGGATTGCCGACTGTCAGATATCATCGTACGGTTTTTTTTTTTTAAATAAAGCGATCATATTAGAGTTTATAGTTGGATCTTGCCTACACTGATGACGTAGCTGGAGCCGCGTTACATAGAAAACAATCTCCCCCTCCCCCACCTCCCGTCCGTCATGTTTACATATTTGACTTTGCAGTAGACCTGTATAACATAGGATAACGCTGGCTAGAATAAGTCCGAACTTCTTGTTTACTTTCTTATCTATCTAATCGTAATGATTTAGATATATATTTTGTTAAAAAAAATGTCTATAGCTACGAACAAACAGCACTGAATAATCTTTCCATCGTTGCTTTGTGTCGTAAGATTTTCTGAAACTTGCTATAACTTGCTTTAATGATAAGCCGTATTGCAAACCTTTACTGCGTTCTAGCTTGAATGACAATTCAGAATGATATTCAAATCAATTTACAAATAATTTATCTAAATAATATTTATGATAACTTAAAGCGGCTCATTTAGTACGATCAGGTATGTTTTGATTCGTGTACGTCCTATAATTAGGAAAGCTTCGGTGGCGCTTGCTCACAATTGTTTGTAGTTTTTCTATCTTGCTACTTGGGGCCATAAAATACTGTTCTGCCTCTGTTTTAAGATCGCTTTTTTCAACTATCGGAGGACATTCGCTTTTCTTTTTATATGATTTAAACATTTTCAGCAGAAAACAAAACTGGTGTTTTTTTTTATTCAAATTCACTCAATATTATATTTAGTGTTAGATCGTTTCAGACGTATAGCTGAAACGTTAACTTCAGGGCCAAGTGGGGCCTTCCGACGCAAACCGGATTCGAGAGTTCTTCCCACGAAACACAAAGATGTCCAAGGTTTCAAGTGCCCAAGTGGCCTACAGCAAAGGCCGAACCACTACGGACAGTGAAACCGACGAATGCTGCATCGACGTTTGCGATCGGGTAAATGAATTTGAACTATGGTATTAGGAAATAATTAGATAAAAGTTATTGAATTCAGATCGACTACAGTTAACTTATCGACTTACCATTGAAATGCAGTGGCGTACTGCATCGTATACCGCTTTTGCTTTAAACTAAAGGTAACGAAGCAATTGTTTTTGGTGATTGTACAAGTTAAGAGAAAAACTTTTGGATAGATTCGAGTGTAAGTGTTTTGAAGTTCTTTTAAATATGCAGTTGTATTTTATTACGGATAGTTAAAAAGCCTGAATCTGTAAATAATCCTTTAGATGTAAAAAATATAGTTCATTTATATGTGGAAAACACACAATCGTATTTTATAAACATCTAAACTCAAAGTTGAAAAAAATTAAATTATAAGGTCGGTTCGCCCGATAGAAGAGGCTGCTGTGCGATGGTACTGCAGCAGATATCGCCGCATGGTATCTAAGGCATGTTGCGCGTCATTTTGTGCAGATATACGTAGTTCCTAATGAATGAAAACTTACTGTTTTAGCTATTTAAGACAGTCAGGATAGATTTGCGCCATCTTTCCGTCCCGTGTACTGACGAATCTCGCAGGCAACAATGATGGTACACATATCTGTTCAACGATGAGCGATGCAGGCCCATGTGTCGTTGTAAGAACGAAGACTCGTTTCGATTAGGTATTTCGAGCCGTTTCAATGAGGGATGTTTTCGACTAATTGGATTTCGTATGAAAAAAGGGCGGCCACATTCATTGCAAACAAATCTAGCGCCGTGCGCAAACAAACGCATTTGATACACTGGCAGTCACCGCCGGCTCCATTCTGTTGTATTAAAATCATAATTAAAAATAACTAGAAGTAATTAAATATTCCTATATTAAAAGCCACATTAAAAGTTTTGACCGTTTGTAGGCAAGATTAGTCCCACGTATCGAACACTAGTCAGGTACCTCAGGGCCCTTCTGGCTATGTGGAGTGTACACAAAAACGCAGTTATAGTAATAACAAACTAGAAGGAAAAGGTCGCTCGCTGGGATTTCTCTCAGTAAACAAAATTTAATGATACCTCTATCATTTTCTGACAAAAGCAAAACTAATGATAAATAACCTTTATTGACGCTAAGAAGGAACAATTGTTGCCAAAAAACGGAGAAACGGTCTATAAATAAAGGTCAATTTATATGAACAGCTTTTTTTAGTAGCACTAATTTTTGACCTTGAGAATGCAAAGTTGCCTAACAGCTACGCTAACTTAAAGTTGTCAGACAGCTGTCTGGTAAGCAGATAATTCTTCGATTGAAATTTTAACTTGCGGCTGACCCTTCGGCTTTAGTCTGAGCGTATACTGAATTGAAATGAAATGTAAGCTGGGCACACTTCAGTCCTACAACTAGGGTAGGCTCACATTGCGGGATGTCAGTTGCGATTAAACTACTCGGTTGATGGCTGGCCAGCCTGTGGGCTCTGTTGGCCTTACGTGAGCCGTTCCCTAACGCACCTATGATATAGTGTGCTAACAATAGGCCATGGTAAGCATTTACCAACACTTATCATGGAAACGCACTCAAAAGATACATATTAACTATGTAGAGCACGCCACCCCACTATTTTCGATCGAAAGTCATGTATGTCCACGTAACTCAACGGTAGTTCTCCATGAAAAATTAACAATAATAATATTAGTATCGATCAAATAGACACGTACGCATCTTCTTCGTCTTCTTGAAGGAACTTAATTATTTAGTATAACTTTTATGGGCACTGAAGAAAGGGATCTTATATGCGACACATAGTGCAATACTAACGTTACGTCCGTTTACCTGTGCTCTCGTTTCTTTTTCAGAATAATTGGCGAGCCGTTTTTAATAAGGTAAGAATATGAGAACGGATGTATATAGAGGTCCTTCTCTATCAACATCGGGTAGAATAAATAGGTGTCCTGTTTCCGCAGTGGTACAGTGGCAAACGTGTTGGTCCAAGTTCGAGCTAGCCGACTGAAGCGACGCTTAACGGCAGCACCGAGCGCAAAAACTAGTGCGGACCCTGGCTCGCATTTAGTAGTTTCCGAACGTACTTGCTGAGCCTAACGTATACCTTAAATCACTATTTCATTCATTAATTTACGTAAATATCTGTAAATACATATCTGATTATTCATCTGTGAATCGGTCAAAATTGAAAAGATATAATAACTGCTTTCGTTCAAATTTTAGTATGACACGAATCATGATGGCTACGTTTCCATTGCACACCTGTCTCGCCTCTGGCAGGAGCATTCACAGTTGCTGCAGCATGATCTACCTCCTACCGTTATTCAGGAATTACTTGAAAGGTAAGAGGAGACGGTTGAATCAGTCTGCGATTTAGTTGCATCACGAATACAGGTGGTGTCCTAAGCTTTATAGTTAATGGAATATAGCAATGAAAGTTTTTGACAGCATATTTGTAGCGTTTCCACCGAAAAACTGGTATATAAATCACCTAGGGAATAACTCTCGACAAATTTCATCTGTTTTGGTAATACTCTATGAGCTCGTTTGGCGCCGCCAAGCATAATTACCGCTTTCAGTCAGGTCGTATTCTAAGGTTTCCTTTACAAAAATGTACTAAATATCACACAAATACATATGTATAGTTACTACAATTTCTGATCAGCTCGTTTAACTCAGAGGACGTAAGGTAACAAAAGTTTACATCTTCAGCGAACCCACGCTGTGCTTATGACCAGAACTAAACAGGGAATCTTTCCAAGCTAGAGATTCTTATGGTTCGTCTTCAAGATTGTATCTAAACGAAAACAAATATTTAAACGAAATGTTTAACATTTGTTAGAGGTGTCATTAATATTCAATACGGCCATCATCCGCTGTGACAACAGTTCCGGTTTGAGAGCTAAACCGTTAATTAAGTGTTTTTGTTTCAAAATGTTCTTGTTTTAGTTCACCAATAGCTTTTTAATAGTAACGATGCTTCCAGCAATACTGCTAGGAGCAAATTCGTCATGTTGCATGAAAGCAATGGGGCAAAATTTGGCTCGATAGCAGATCAAGAGACCCAAAAATGTAAGGGTTCAACACGCTAAAATGTTTAAGCTGTGTAAAAAGACACAAGAAATCGTAAAAAAGACCAACCATTAAGTTTTTTCTTTGGACAATTTACTTGGTAGTGATTGATATTCCTTTTGAGACGGCGATTAAGTTTTGGATTCAAGTCCATGGATATCTTTAAGATAGGTTCAGTTGATCCATAACATTCAGCTCGTTCTCGAAATGCTATATATAGCAAAGAACGACGACAAAAATCCTTGTACTTTAGAGGGGCGCTACGGCATGTGCTATTGCCATTATTATACGTTATATAACATATGCATTGCTTTGATGTTGTTGTTTTTCTAACAGATTCGACTGGGATCGTGACGGACATTTCAGATACGACGACTTCGAGAAAATGATGCAATTTGCAGTCAAATACAAAAATTACCCTCGATTCTGTACCCTCGTCAAGTTTGCAGCCTCAACTGTCGTAAGTTTCGCATACTCGTCTGTTGCAGAACTCTATTTTCTTCTTCGCCGTCCATTGGTGCGACGTTCACCTGTGCCGCTGTCGTCATTGCATACAAGCAAATGTTATTCACTCAAGTACGTGGCGCCGAAATCTCGGAAACATGCTACCACAACATGGCACACTGTTTTATATTGCGTATTACGTCAACGACGTTCATAGCAGATCGAAGTAACGGTACTTCGGAGGATGTCTATAAACATGGCAGCGGAACCATCAAAGGCCTGATCGTCAAATTAAAAGTCCCCAGTTTGATTCGTGATGGTGTTCGGTAATTTTCTTGAGCTTAATGGGTCCTCGGTATCGGCTCGAGTACAACTAAAATAAACATCATTGCAGTCGCTTTAGTTATTATTAAATTAGAACATTTTTCTTGCTTGTTCAGTAAAACGAAGGTGCTTTTAGTAGCCTTAAAGACACCTATAATTGTCCTATAAATGCTCGACTCTACCTCGGGACAAGATAGTCTACCTTACTGGCAAACGTTTTTGCTTTGTTGAGTTAACCTGCAGACGTATGTCTGGCGTTATACCGAACTGCAGATAATAAGCAAAGAAACATTTCTTTAATAGACTATTAAAAGTTGACTGCGTGATAATTTGGGTTTGAGCTTTCATCTAGGCATCTTGATAAGCGTACGTTTATGATATTAAGTCGGTATTGGGTCAAAGCAGGTGTTGGACGGGTTAACCTGATAGTAAATAACCTGATAATTTATTTGATCATTGTGAAAACTCCTTCGTTTCTAATGATACAAGTATGACACCTTGGATGCTTTCGGCTATCCATACGCTTACACTGAATGGTAATTAAGCTGAACAATGTCATACGACGCAATCGGAGCCCTGAATATAGTCATTGATCTTTGCTTTAACAGCTTGCGAACCCGTCGCTGTAAGAACGCTAGATCTCAGAGTTCGTTTACCTGTTATATGCCGATAAGGAGAGAAAAGAAACCGATATGATATCGAGCTAAGCTCAAACATGGGTGCGCTGAAATTGAAAGATGCAAAACCATGATCTACAAATGTTTATGGAAAAATAATCTACTACATTCGAAAAATACATATTAATCTACTTACCCAGCATTAACTTTGTACGATGCGACTTCCGTGTTAGATCGTTCACTGACATCTGCATTGCACTTCATATGTATCAATTTTGGCTAATACTGGCCCTTGCTACCGTTAAACGGTGCACTCACCATGTGCCCCCAGCTTACTGCAAACGGTACTTTTCCGCGGAAAAAAATCCCGATGCAGTCTTTATACATCAACACTAATTGTTGCGCAAAAATCTGCGTTGGCATGGACAAGCGTATAGCTATACAGACTGAAAAAAAAATTAATTCACTAAAAATTAAATAAAGATCAAGTAACTTTTTCGTAGATTTACTGCTCAGCAGCAGATTCTGCTCAGCTGCTTGCCTGACCTTTAGAATACCGCACCAGTTCGGTGTAATGAGTGTGATATTAATAAAAACGTCACGTGAGGTTCGTTGAGTACTGGAAAAAGTCTCGCGCTCGACCCTCATCTTCACTGCATCACTTGAAGACGAAGCTCAGCAGCTCCGCCGCTACCCCAGCTGTGATGAAGCACTATTGCCAGAATCTATTTTCTATACTACTATTTTCTTCTGCACTATGATCACGTATCTTTTACACGGTTCATAATAGCGTGCCATTAGGCATTACATGCGTCCTCTAAGGCTAGTACACAATTCAGATTAGAGGCAGAACTATGTCCTGATAACGTACATTTGTGCAGAGGGAAGGGCGTATAATAAAGCCAATAAATTGCTTTCCATATCCGTGTATCCTGGAGTACAAATAAAAACGACGCCGCTCTAAGTGTCTGTTACCACCGGAGTAGCCTGTGCTGCACATAATGCAACGGGCGATCAAGGGAAATCAGCCTAGATATATATTTACAGCTCACAAATTCAATTTAACGCATTGATCTGGAAGAGAATTGTCATAGTTTCGATGAGGTGGAAGCGACGATGCAAGCACTATTGTAACCCGACTGTGTGCTTTTATTGCGAACTCAGCTTCTGTGGTACCTGCTATTTCTTTGAAAATGTCGTTTATGTGTATTTTTCTTTTCTACTCGCTAATATATTTTTTGTTCGTTAGTAGGTTTTCTTCTGCACGATATTGCAGTGTGTCGACAGGCAATGATTTATGAACATAGAGGAATAATATGATGTTATCTATACAACTAAATACAGTGGACATCGGAAGCAAACCCTTGCTTGAGTTTCAACCCATATATACGATACGTTATTATATGTGTTTGTAATGACAATTGACAGGTGGCTTCTAATCGACGCGCGACGTTCGTGCGGTCCTATTTCGAAGAGTACAGTTGTATGCCCCCGCCGTTTTTTATCGTACTCGTCTCGATTATACAGGCAGGTATTCGCATGCGGATCTGCGCAAGAAACAAATAGAAAAAATGATGCCAATTAAAATCGAACAAAAAGATAATTAAACATGTTTACAGTCGTTGTTCATTCATACGTTGTTGTGCAATTGCAACAACACTTAATTCCAATAGACATGTACCGTATTTGTGGCTCTAGTCAATGTCAATTTAGAAAAATCTTGTTATTAGTTAATTTAAAAGAAATCAACATTTGTTTCAAAGAAACTAGAAGTATTCGAACGCGCTTGGATAAGGCAGTGCTATTAGGGACGTGTTAGTGTGCTAACTACTTTTGCCTTCTTTCCTAGGTTGCTATCTACATTTATTACAGCATAGAGTTGAAAGAATGGTCTCGAAATGGTCCTACACCGATAAAGTCGCCTCTGATCTATAATCCTAATCGGCGGTATGAGGTGTGGAGATTTTTTACCTACCAGTTCATCCATATCGGGTACGTTCTCCTCTCCGAAACACACACACACACAGATAATACTTGTTCAATTAAATAGACATATCGTTGAACAGTTAATTTCTCTTGTGGTAAAATGGCACCCAAACTATATTCCCCAACCTAAATTGGGGTCGTGTTATATTTAACCGTCCCCTACCGTTCGATCGTGAATAATATCGACGACATTTCCTGGTCGATATTTTACTCTAATTGTTTTTCGGTGCATACGGATTAACATATCAATTGTTGTATATATCTTTGTGTCCACAGACTCTACCATATCCTTTTCAATATACTCATGCAGCTGGTGCTCGGAATACCATTAGAAATGGTTCACAAATGGTACCGTGTAGGCATCGTCTACAGCGTTGGAGTTATAGCCGGTAGACCTAATCCATACCAATATACTCTCCTAGAATTTCTCGACTGTTACAGATTATAGGAAGTAAAGTACTTCTTTATAGGGTACACAGTACTTGGGAGCCTGTTTGCCTGGCACATAAACCACAACGTTAGCTATGTATATGATATGGAAGCTCCTTTTTGTGTGCGTATTATTTTAACATGTCTGCGACTTCACCAATGAAATAAGCTAGATAATTGGTAGTTACGAATGAAAAATTTTCATGTTCTTCACGTTTGCTAGGTTCTCTCGGCTCCTCTCTGAGTGATCCCCGAACGTATCTCGCCGGTGCATCAGGAGGTGTGTACACGCTAATTGCAGCGCACCTGGCTACCGTCGTATTGGTAGGTGAACCCCAAACACGCTAAAAAAATTACTGTTTCCTCTCTCTAAATTTTTCTATAAACATTATCAAGAGTGAACGTTATAATGTGTATATATATATATATATATATATATATATATATATATATATATATAGTGCATTTGCCTCGTATAAATCTAGCTCTACGAAACTTCCACGGTGGAAGTAACAGGAACTCGAATGCAAAGAGCTTCCCCTTTTCTCGCTGTCGATAGGGGAAGAGGCGTTTCTGTCCGCCGTTTATGCCTACTTTGACCGTACATTTGTGTGTTGTCATGATTGTTATGCACTGTTCATTGCTTCGACCGGCGATGATCTTTTGTCCATGTTTTTACGCTCGGCCTACCAGCCTTTCGTCATTTCCTTTTTCTCGTGTCACAGAACTACGCTGAAATGGAGTTTGGATGGTTGCGGCTGACCGTTCTGATAGTGTTCGGAATAACCGATTTTACGGTAGCAGTATATGAACGATACTCGCGCGGCGGTAGCCAACCGATTTCGTACAGCGCCCATTTGGCGGGGGCGTTCGTTGGACTGACGTTGGGCATGGTCGGGCTGCGGAATCTTATTGTGACGAAATGCGAACGGGTACTACGATGGATCTCATTCTTCTTTTGTCTAACCTTCTTCATTATCGCCGTAGGCGTGAATCTGTTGGCGACAAATTACTATCCAGTCCCGCACTACGATTAGCCATCTCAACATGGTAAATGGCCAATAAATGCGGGCGACGATTATTACTACGACGACTTAGCATTTTTACCATACACTGTTGACATGTCGAAGGGGTGAAAAGTTCCTGCTGGCCAAGACCTGACACATCCAAGCCTTGAAGACGTACAACACGGTTTTCTGTTGAGTTAACCTGGTTAACTCAAGCGCCGACAACGCGTTGGCTTCGTAAAGATTGAATGGGCTATTATTAGTGACAACGTTCCTCAAAAGACACTGAATAAATTCGAACTGTACAAAAGAAGTCTAGTTAGGCACCACGAAGGATAACTGGATTAATAATGTTATTACTGGCGTCATCGATAAGCTATTGAAACTTCGAAGCCGGATAAATTGCGGAGGTAATACTATAGCTTCACGCGTCAAGCTAGTTGCGTCCATTAGACTGCTATTGTTAAGTATTACTCTTCAGTTGAGAGCTTGATTGAAGTAAAATAGACCCAATTAAAGTTGCAACGGACGAGTTGCATATATCACCTCTATATGGTTTCAACCTCCAAACGAATGACATCTTATATGAGTAGTATCCGCTATACTATGCGTGACCGCGTTTGTTAATGTGGAAATTATTTCATTATGCTTTCTCTGAATGAACAGCCTTATGATAGACCGGTTTGTTGGTGTTGATCCCGCCCTATAAGCTTAGTTTCTGACAATGCGGTGGCTATGATATAAGAAGTTCGATAATAAACAAGCGAATGTAACGTCTGTGCAGAGAATAAAATGCTTGCATAGGAAAATACTACGTCGCAAACAGGAAATAGCCGGAAATATAAATGATCGCATGCGACAACGATCACGTTCCAATCACCGCACCCATTTACGCAAAATTTAGGTTCTAAATATAGTTCAGCTATTCTATACTCATGAGGCTAAATTCAATGACCTTCATAGCTTTAGAATGCTAAACAAGATTCAGTAGTCGACATAGGCACATATCAACGTCTATTGTTTCTATGTATTTTTTCTTCCAAGGTCTGAAGTTGTGACCCCTTTCCAAACTATAAGTAAACGTTTTACGCTTGCAGTTGCGTACAGTCTTTTCGTACGGTTGCAGTACAATTGTAAACCTATGTTCGCCATGTAAAGGAAATTATGTTATCATGATAGGCCTATCAATTAATGAATGATTATGGCATACTTTTTCTCATTAGATTTCAACATAGACATAGACAAGCTTGATGTAACTTAATAGCGATCAAGTTTTTAATCTATCTCTACTGCCTAAGGTAGGTCCCTGCTCGAAAAAATTAAACAGCGCCCATTAAGCACGACATTAAGGTGTAATCCTAAGTTCTGAAATAACAACTATACACAATGAGCCGGTATTTTACCTGTAAAAATTGCAAAATGTTTATAGAAGAACTGCAGCCACTTTTTGAAATGCATTCTCATTGTCCATTTTCATTTTGTATATGGCAGTTAAACATTTACTGTGTCCTAATATTATTGCTGATCATCACAGCCAATTGGAAGCGATGTCGCATTCCTGTTCCGGTATTGTAGCTTCATAGCGTCAATCATCAATAGGCAAGGGACAATAATCATTATCTAGTATTATAAACATGATCAAATATGTCCTTGGCACCCTGTCACACACAAATAAACACATAAACACGAAAATAATTCTCAGAGGATGATTGAGAATCGTCCACGGGTCATCGCAGCAATTACGGATTTTTTTAATGGGTTCCGTTACTTGATACTTAGCAGAATTAGACGATATTATGTAGGTTAAATTGCCCATTTTTCATGATTACGCCGGGCCTACTGGACACAAGCTCTGTCGCTAAGGCCAAAGGCGAGTGATCAGCTACTAGCTGACAATTTTAAATAGCGTTTGAGTTAGACTAACTCGACCGTAATTTGGAGCTAAATGCTATATGAAATTTTACGGGACGCCCGAGATCGACTGTACTACATTCGGGCCAGCAATTGCAAGGTTATCCATTTTCAAATACTTCTTTAAAAAAGATATGTTTATGCCGAATCGATGTAACGTAAATTTATTTTTTAAGGCAGACCCCATTAAACAAATTTCATATGAAAATGTATGGTAAAGAAAAATATATATTTTATACAAATCTATATGTGTATTGTAATTTATATGTGTGTACGCTATTGATAACAAACACGTACTTGGTCAACAATATCACAATGTGAAATCTTTTGAAAACGTTTTTTTCTGTTGTAACAGCCATTTGTCACCACAACGCCGTTCGATTGATATATCTGCTTTATATCGATTGATATTTGTTTCTCCATTATGCCCATTCTGTTAATGTTTCTGTTGCAGGACACTAATAACAACTTTAACTGATGATATATAAATGTAAATGATGATAAACAGATGATCCGATTAAATTTTCATAAGAGTATTTTTCAGTTTCCGTAATGTCGTCTTGTCAATGACTACACATTGCCATTAAGCTTATCGAATTTAGCAGTATTACGTCCGTTGGCCATTCTACATGGCTGGCCGGCTCCCAGCACAAGACGAACCGTGTGTCTGTGCTCAAACTCAAAACGTTACCCACTAAGCTATTATGGGAACATGTCATAGTGCCTTATCTTACCTTTTACTAACGAAGAGGAGACCATGTGGCCAAATAAGCCAAAATACAGGCCAAATGTAATTCCAGACTTGGAACAAAGGGTTGTACAAAGTTTAAACTTATAATACTGTTGATCTAAAACGGTGTAAAAAATCTTGGTTTAATAAATCGAAAACGATCCACGTATTGATTTACATATTTAAAAAAATGGCCGTCCTTTAAAAGTCTTGCCATAAAATGTAATTTGAAGCAATATAATTTTCCTGTATCCTTGATCATATGTGCATCTTACAGCGATATGAAGCTTCTATGATAGTTATTAGTTTTCGATACTACGGTACCGATATTCAGATACTGATTTCTGTATATATTCAGTCGTCTGATCACAAAACAAATTGAAACGTACCTTCGTTTTCATACGGTGCCTTTACACAGTATAAAAAGTACACCTGTGTCGCAAAGCTACCCAGTAGAATCGCTACCTTATTCAGACAAAAAAGGACTTGTTAAATATTCTGCGTCGCGTTGGCCGTCCGTTTAAATTGCGACAACTATAAAGATGATACACGTCACGCTGCCACGACAAAAAGACCCGAGGATGCATGAAGGCATTATTTGGAAATCGAGCAGACGATGAATGGAAGTACAGATACTGACTGAAAACTGATTCTGAAGTAGCCGCCAGCGGCAATCGCTTATGAAATATAAATAAAGAAAACCGTATTTATGATAAAAACAAAAAAGAAAAGCATTTCAGTCTGGCGTATTATTGCGTGTTTATTTAAGCAAAGGGACATATAGCCGAGCTCGGGTATGCCGCTACTCGATCTTGCCGATTCGATTTCAGATCAATAAATATGGCACAGTTTATATCAGATCCATAGCATTTATACTAAAAGATTACAGCTATCGATACGCTAACAGGTATCTGGCGAGTAAAATCGCTCATATTTAATCTGCGCGACTTTTTTTTTGGTTCGAGGTGATAGAAGGACAATTCAACTGCCTAACTATCGTCAGGAATGATCGTAAGGTTCGGCTTAATTTAGTTTAGGTTAGGAAACTAATAAAAATATCTGTCCGAGGTCTGTGGCCTATCTACATTCGTTACGAATCAACATCATTATCGCTATCGTGGAGGAACTTCAGGGACGCTTCAACGGAGGAGCTAATCAACCGAAATGGCACAATGCAGCCTGATATAACCTTGATACGTTTCACGTGATAGGAAATAGGTTGCTTTACAAATCTAGCAGGCATAATCGCGACTTTATCCAATACTATGAAAGGTATTAATATTACATGAATTAGTTTGACCGGTTGATCGAATTTAACATTATGGTAACGTAATGTTAAAATTCATAAGGTCATGTTAAGAAGGTAAAAGACACGAAAAAAAAAAATAGATTTTCCTAAAAACATGGTAAAAATATGCTGAGAAGAACGGTGCCCAAGTCTCAGTGTTATATGATCTGTTTGTCTCTTGGTATAACGAGAAACTTTTCATGATAAAGGTACACGTTTCGGCGAAATCCGAAGACAAAAAAATGCTATTTTTTAAACAATATTTAAAAACATTTTAGATACGACGCTGACTAAGCTGATCTGATATCGTTTTTCTCATGTTTCACCATTTGGCGCTCACGTAATATCGAGCATAACAATCATCTAATGTATTAAGACTAATAAAATTATTTTTCCTCGATCAGCGAATACACACATAGGTCATATGTAGCGTATATGGCTTGATTCAGACCCTACTTGTAATTTTTCCACTTTCCTGAACAAATTCGGGCCTTTCTCAAACTCGTTGCTGGCATTTCGACGAATTTTTTTAATGGAACGTAAAACAAGCATCTTGACTCGATTCACATTAATACTGGTCCGTATTAGAGTCTAGGCAAGACGGGTCTTTATACAAAGCAAGTATGAAATGGTAAAATGTCACGATACACCACATGTGCGTCCATCCCTATTACGTTATCATTCCCAAAGGATTTATAGTAATTCGTCTCTTGGTGTACATTTAACAGAAACTATACAATCGTGTGATATTACATGTGACGTTTGTAAATTCCTTATTCAGCACATCAAAATTCCGACGGAAAGAAAGAAAGGAGCACCGTAAACAATCAAGAAATAGTAGATCTTTAGTGATGAGCAATTGTTGGCCATCTGATTAATATGTTTAAGGCTGTGGATAGCTAAAGTGTTCTGTTCTAGATTGTGCCACTTGTCGACAGATCGGCTCACGATTTGAATCGCTGTCAAAACGTAATTATTACCGACGACTGCAGTTGCTGATCATACATAACCTGACTGCGTGTGCGCACCCACCTAATAGAACTTCTTTAATCAGCTGTTTTATGGTTCCTAATAAGGGATCGACATCTAGTGTCTCCGCGTTGTAAAGCGATTGGTGATAATGGTCTAGTATGAGAAACGGCACTTAATTTTTCTGCCAATATCATCATACGATGGGTGACTCAGCTAATCGAGTTGAGAAAGTCGTTGAGCAAACCGTAAAAATGGTAAGTGCGATCGCGAGGATCTCGCGGGATGCTGGGTACCGGGACAAGCTAGCTGCTATGGCCGACTTACCCAGATATGATGAAAATGAATTTTGCAAAGTTTTCCGCAGCGCTCTGTGGGAGGTGTTGGCTATGCATCGACCGGAAGTGCGCAAGCTTCCGAATCGGCCGAGACCACTTGAAATGGAGCGAGACATCGTCGAACGCCTCAGGAATGACTTCAGTCCAACGCAAAGGAACCGCCGCAAGGTAGACTGCAGTAGAGTCAGCAATTCAACTCTGACCATTGTTACTCGTATCGAAGAAAGTTTTGCAACTTTTTCAGGGCTGTTGTCATCAACGGTACCGTCTCCTGCCTCATCAGCTGCGGCTTCGCAGACCGAAGAATAAGAGTCTGCGGCGCCTACACTACAACCGGGCTATTGAGTTTGTCGAGCTCTGTGATTAAAAAAAACAAGCTGCTTCACTGAAAAAATAACCAGGCTCGAGACTCGAACTTTTCAAAAATTTCAACGCCGAGATATGGGCTTACGGTTGCATGACTATGAGCCGTACGGGGAAGTGACAATATAGTTGTAAATTAGCTATGTTTTCTAATTATTACAAAAATCATTTGTTTCTAATGTCAGGACAAGGAACTTTTAAGCGGTTTAGTGTCAAATAGAACCAGCTACATTTGACTGAATATGAGATATAGCCATATGAAATTCTAGATCGGACGTGTGGACTATTTTGTGAGGGTTCAAATCCTAAGAGTTACACAGATATTTGTGCGCTATTCCTGCCGTTCCCCCAAGTGTGATAGAAGAGTGTCGTACTAATCAACTTTTTTTTTATAACTGGTCTTGCTGATCCAAGGATTGGAAGCGACCATTCTATATTTACTGACGAAATAAAAATCTAAGCAAAATTGGCTAAGCTTCCCTTTTGTGCTTGTTCTTTTTGTAACATTAATGGCTTTATGTCTGAATTACTAACAGCAATGAAACTTATAAAACACAGAGTATAAATTTGGCTTGTGAGATTCTCCAAAACGGAGTAAAATAGAAATCGCTTTAAATTCTTTTTTCGTTAGTTTCCCTTGTATTATTATTCGCTTTTCAGTTCTCTCTTGTTTATTTTCTTGCTGAGAGCAGAAGTACAGCGGACGCCTTTCAGACGAATATGTTTGATATCATACAGCGAAATGTTCAATGTTCGGTCTGTCTTTGTCAAGTAATTTAGTGTTAATCTGTGGCAGGGGAAGATTAGTTATGGCTGGATAGCAATCAGTACCACTGATCAATGAAATCACGAAACTTCTATTTTTGAGGATAGTGACTAGTTCGGCATGACATTTCCGTGCGTTTAGCTTAAGCATTTTCACAGAATCTGTTGTTCTAGCATACGTGTTCTGTAGTGACCAATCGTTTACCCTGCGCCCTTGTTCATAACAAATATTTCGCACGATATTTTTCATGGGTCAATATTTCGCACTGTTGATTTCCGGGAGACCGTTCTACACACGTCCTGCTATACGCAAAACTACTTAAAGCTCTGATAGGGTTGTCACGACTAATTCACATACCTTCTCCAGGGATGCCTCCACAGCTGACTACCTATTTGTACAGTAAAGTAAATATTCATCCAATTATGCCCGAATTATTTACGTAAGCTTTGCGTCCAAACAAATGAATCATATGGTAAATACAAAACTGAGCAGACAGACCATTTCTAACAATATGGCGGACCCGTTTACTTGTCTTTGAGAAGCTGTAAAAAGTGCTCGCGTTTTAAGGTTAACATATGACAGAACTGAGCTGTGCAATTAAGAAGGTGTTTTTGTCTTGTTAATCTGCTACGGATGCAAACATAGTAAAATAGTCGTAATACCTTCGCCACTTGCGGCAACCTCTTTGGTCAGGATGATTAATCAGCATGTACTAATACAGTTATTTTTGTTGAGCCGTTATCTTAGGATTTTTATCCTCACCTCCCATTATACTCAACGATCCCTGTCAGGCACATTCCACCATGCCAGCAATTCGAGTTTTTCCCATTGCTTGCTTGCCTGTATCTACTTATATAGGCGCCCCCTCAACACCGCCGATCGGCCTTCAGATGATGGGCGCTTGCTCATACTCAGTAGGCTCAGCCGGGTAACAACCGGAGGTAGACAGACAAACTGGCAGGTAGACAAGCGAGCAGCTGGACCATTATAATTTGACTGAAGGTCCACGTGAGCACGCGGAAAGTGCAGTGTCTCTGTCTCTCCCACTGCCCCTTTTATCACATCCCATTGTAATCCTCCTTTCCCTTTCGGAACACTTACGAGACTTTTTTTACGATTGGCTCGCCTCTGCTTCCATATTGATTTTGAATGCGCTGAAATTCAGGAGTACTATTAACTAGCGGAGCAGCCTTTGTGCAATTTCTCGGGAGGCCGAGCGCCGCCTGTGGGTGGCCCGTTTCGCTATTGCCTTGGAGTGTCCGTCATACGTAGTTCCGTTGAATCTGTTGGTACTGCTGTCGCTGCCGCAGTCTCTGCCATTGTTCTGCCAGCACTCGGTGCATCCTACCTAACAACTGTATAACAGATCGCCTTCGCCATAGACCGTCCCTTGCTAGGCTTTGGCATCCTTTCTCCGCAAAAACTTCGCCGTCGCACTCGTTTTCCGTCGGCGCGCCATCCGTTCGCGTCGCTGCCCTCGCCCACTCCCCTTCTCTCGCTCTCATTCGCCATGTTTCGTTCTCTCCCTTCACGTTCGTGTGTTTGATCTCATTCGCCCTTTCCCACCGACGACGAACAGTGGCGGACGAATTAGACGCACGCAGACGGTCAATAGCAGCGGCTGCAGCAGGTACAGCATCGGCAACTTTAGCAGAAGCAGGTGTAGCGGCAGCATTTAACTAAACCTGGAATTCTACTAGCTGCAAGGGAACTCATACACTTTGGGTGAACGTTCAGTGTTGTCGGGTGCCTATTGTTGTGTCGCGAGACAATATTTCAACAATTCTGTGGAAATATCGTGTTGATGGACATCACCATTTCGCTGTGCCGCACATCAGCGACTAAGGATGGTTTGCCGGATCAGCTTTTTTTTTCTTGGCCTACGCCAAGGCGTCGGAAGATCTGGTGGTGTAGATGCATGTGGCAGTGAACGACGAAAAGTGCGATGAGTAGCAGCTGTCGGAGGCGGCTCGGAAGCGATCTGCCAAACATAGACACGGTCTACCAGACGCAAAGGCTAGACATTTGTTGCTATTACCGACGCTCAACCGATGCCATTCTCAGATGACTCAGTCAGTTCTGAAAATACGACGACGACAACAACAACAACTGTTATTGCGCTCCGCGAGCAACTGGGTACCCCGAGGTTGCTGTTGTTGAAATTTAATGATAAGCTGAGTGAGTTCTCAGTAGAAACCGCGGTCCTAGTGAGGTGATCTCGCTTTCCGTCGCTCCATATCGCTCAGGCTGACGGCCAGCAAATGTAAAGGCAGGTGAATTCGAATTACTCATCGGAGTGCTGCCGTCTACGCGGTGTAGTGCGGTTTGCAGTTGAGATTGTGCTTGTGTGGTATATTTTGCCACTAGCGCATATAGTTTTGCACATTTTTGGAAACAAATTCAATGTCGATTACGAAAAAAACAGGAACGATAACAGAGCTACAAACAGTGTGTTATTATTAGCTCGTCCAGGGATAAATAGCCTGAATCAGCTGCAAAGCCAACCCGTAAATAAAACCGTAGTAGTACAACGTTACAACAGAAAAGAACGACAATACTTGTTCATTGTGTTGGTATACGTTTTACCTAAAAACAGACCAGTGCTCATCATATTTAAAACCATGCAAGGGGCACTCATCGCGGTTCTGTTACTAATGTGCGAAAAATATAGTCAGTCTTGCCATCGACTTAGGTGAAGCTCTATGTCCGGAAAACGAATCCCTTCTAGCTACACCTTTCAAAGTAAGCCACTCTTTACATCTTCTAAATGATACAACGTCGAATGTTGCGCATGACCTAGAGGAAATCCTGCGATGAACGCGTAACTTGCCGATCTTTGTTTCTCAATGTAATTACGCGACGGCGGTGTGTCTACCGTTGCTCAGCTGTTCAATGTAATGCCGCGGTCCACGCTAATGCCAACGGCCAAAACCAAAATAACAACAACAGTTGTAACTGTTTTGAGTGTTAACTTTCATTGGCCCCCACCCCATTGCAGCAGTAAGTTAACGTGCCGCAATCTTGTAGATAGCCGCGGTCGCTGTCGCCGAGCCAGTAGCCGGACGGTGAAAACAGGGTTGACAACAAGCAGATTTTTTGCCTTTGCTAGCAGCCGGCAACACCGATTCGACGGCACTGGCGCTCAAGCCCAGAATCAACATCATCAGCAGCGACTCAAACCAGAGTCGATTCGATGAAGCACTGAGTAAGCGGGAGTGAGATGCGGGGTCCATTTCTCCGGCCATTGTCGCGACGGCTGGGCCTCTGCCTGGCCCTGTGCTCGCTCTCGACATTAGCCTACATTTGTCTGTTGGGCGCGCAACCGCGGTTACAGCTGACTAGCTCGTTAAATGGATTACTGGACGACACGACAGGAGGCGACGACGAGATAGTGCCGAATGCAGTACCGGGGTCCGGCTACGGTAGCGCCGGGGCTCTGTCTTCCCTCGGGAGTAATACGGGAGTGGGTGGCGGAAGCGGAAGTTTAGGCGCGGGCGTCCTCATCGGCTCGCCACGCGAACTCGTCTGCGATATTAACGGATTGCAAAAAATCCCTTGTCTTCGTGACAGATCCGAGGTATATCTACCGTTTAGCTTTCTGCGCAAGTATTTCGAGGTAAGTTTCGATGATAGTTTAGACCAGATTTAAATTTGGCATCAAAACTATAGATCGCTGGAATGATTTTGTTCTGTAATTGCCATTGTTTGCTTGTTTCCTACAATAGGACCCTATGGAACGTCATTGCATGAAGTTGCATCGTACGGTGATGCGCCCGACTACATCGACCCGTATTGTACATAAACTGATGCCATATAAACGTAGTATTATTTAGATCTCTCAGTAACTAGCTGGTGTGTCTGTCCGTAGCATTCCATTTGGTACTTATTTGTTTTTGATCGGTAGAGTTGACTAATCGTCAGGGCTACATGGGAGCACTGTTTTATGGGAAGTTCGCTTTTCATTATGTTTGATACTTTTTAGAGTTTAATAACAATTGTCTTTTAGCACAGCACTTGCCTTTCCCGTATGGCTTAAAACAGTTGTTTGTTTTTTGCATCTCTATTTTATACTACATACAATAGATAATTTCGAAAATTGTGCCATTATTTGTTAAGGGTATATTATATAATCGGCTTGACGACAGCGCCGATGATTTCTCAGGTAAATAACGGGGCCGTAAAATATCATTCCTGTAGATTGGTTGGTGGTGCAATAGACAGGTCATAGACCAGCCGCTGATGGCGTCATCGCATATAAGCTAAGCAAGGTTCTAGTATTTACGACTTTTTTAAAATAAAAATATCGACTTAATTATGTTGGTGATCATGTCGTAAATAAGGTTTTCTTAGCATGCAGAAAAACATATCCGCTATGTACTGGAGTATCACTACAGTAATTGCTAAAATTATGGGTTACTTCAATGTGCTCTTTCAACATGTAAAACTATCATAAAGTTTTTCCTTTTCTGATTTTTTCTTCTTTCTTTCTATTACCTGTATATTTTCTCTCAACTAATAGAAGTGTACAGTTGTCCTTGTCTAAACAGAGTTTTTTTTTTCGTTCGCAACACACAATGGGGCAAACTCTATGAACAGTTCTTGCTATTTTCCGGCTGATTATCTCAACCTCAAGGTTTCTCTACGAAAAGTTATCTGAAGAAGTTACTATATCGTTTTCTTCCACTCTCTTTTCAAGCCATTTCATCAAGTCTAACCGCCACTCTTGATCCATGAGGACGAGCAATTTCCACTAAATTCGTCAGTGTTAAAGTCTCACTCATAAATGTACGTCTTATTAAAGCATATGATGCTCGCGTTTGCTGCATCAAGTGCTACTGCTAAAATCATTTACAAAATAAGCTAAAATTTAAAAACATTAT